GTAGCGCCCGAGCAATTTCCTTGCGAAATCCAGGTGCCCACACTGCCATTGACGCCGACGAGGTAGGCCTTGGGGTCTCCCGTCGCGTGTCCCGAGCCCGGAGGTTCATCTGCATGTTCGCCAGGAATGCCGTTGGCTTTCGTTGCTCATGACCATACGCTCCTTGATCAAACTGGTACTTGACAAGCCCCAGCACCTCCTCCAGCTCTTCCATCAGATGCGTCCTCCACACCGAAGGGCATAGCGACCACAGCTCGTTCCTCTCATCCAGAAATTCCCGCGGATCATCAGGGTGCTCAAAACCAAACCCCACCTTGTCGAACGTCCATTGATCGACCTCGTCCTCTTCCAAGCTCGCCTCCGCCACCAGCCACAGCCAGACCATCCTCAAAATGAGGCGATTGTCTGCCTTCACCATTTCACGATCATCAGGCCCAAGGTTCGGCAACCCCCACAAGTGCTCTGCCGATCTCACCGGCTTGGGCATCCTTGTACTTTCAGCACCAGTGTCCCGATACCTCAGGAGGGAGAACGTCCGGCATGGGGGGCCACCGATCACGGCCTTGATCTTTCTCTGCATTGCGGCCCACAACAGCAGCGCGTACACTTCCTTGTTGAGCAAGTCCCATCCCGTGGCGATATCGACCTCCAAGATCTCACCAGCCACATGCCTGATAGGGTCCCCTTTGACGCCTCGTCCAGCGAATAGATGAACCACCCATCCTTTGGCCCTCCACAACTGTCGCCGTCTCGAGCGGTTCAACGGCATCCTCTTCAAAAGCTTCCACGCTTCCTCTGGTGTCTTGGGAATGTACTCTAGGACGTCGGTCTTGTTCTCCACTGGGACGTGTTGCATGAACGGAGCCTCAAACACCGCCCGAAGCCCATCCGCCATGTCCCCCGAACGCACATACTCCTGCAAGTACCCCTTCCACCCTCCAGGATGCTTCTGCTTTGCCGCCACGATCGCAGTTCTGAGCTCCGCGATGGACTGCATGCTCGCCTCCACCTTCTGCGACTCCAACTCTGCGATGAGCCTCAGCGCGTCGCACTCCCTCACCTCCGGACACGAGGACCGCGTGAACACCTGTATCTCCGGTCGTGAATCATGACGAAGTCTGCAACCTCGGCTGTTCCACACGAACTCGTACCCCAGGGACTTGACCAGCGAGCCCAGCGGCACGATAGGCTGTGCCTCCTCCGCCAGTATCACCCCACTCTGAGTCTGAGGAAGGCTCACCTTCTGATCCCCTGCAAGCGTGACTTCCGCGTTAAAGCAGCTATCAAGTTCACTTCGAGACGTTGCAGGGCGTAGTGCGTGGGTTGCTCCGGAATCCAGCAGCCCCATTCTTTCTTCCTCATTGAAGGTCTTCTTCAAGCCCACGTTCTTCATGGCTGCTTCCCAGTCAACGCTCTTCTTCAGAGGTGGAAGATCATCTAGATCTCTTTCGGGGCATCGCAAGACCTTCAATGTTGGTGCCTTCTGCTGGCCCTCAATGAATGCCTTCATCATACGGTGAGCGCTCTCCAGAAGTTGCTCCACTGGCACGCCCTGAACTGGGTCTTCCATTGTTGTGCTCCCCGAACTTGACGCAGGCACAGATGTAGATGCCGAAGACGACACTTCCGCCTCCACCACCTTCTGGATCGAGGGCGTCTCCGGTGGCCCTTCTGGTTTTTTCGGCGAGCCACTTCCACTCTTCGGCGTGGATGGCGAAGGTCCTTGCTGCTCGTTCTTCACCTTGGTGGGACACGTTTTTGAGGTGTGCTGCTTACTCCCACATGTCCAGCACCTCTCTCTCTTGTCCTTGTCCATAGCGTGCTCGAATTTGCATGCCTTGCCACGTCGACACCCTTCATCCGTGAGAAAAAACCTGCAGGGCTTCAACTGACCTCCTCCTTGGGAACCATCACGTTGAGCTCCCGGCTGATCATTCTTCCCACCGATGGCTCTCATCTTCGGGGTCGCCGGTCCATTACTGCCTGCGTCACCCCCGGCTCCACCGCCCTTCCTTGGCCCCTTCCGCATCGCCAACTGCTCAAACTCGGCCAAGTACGCCCGGTGAATCGCAAGCACGCCATCTACCGAGGGGGTGATGTCTACCTTGAGGTGGTATCTCAGCAGCTGCATCCGAAAGGTCACTTCCGCGTTCTCCTGGAGAGGTTTGCGAACCAAGCCGTCGAGCGCCTTCAAGAGAATCGACGGATCCGGCGTGATCAACGCTAAGTCCTTCGCCCTCTGATACACCCGGTGCCATAGACGAAGCATTTCCACCGCCTCTTGAGGTGACGTGGCTCCCCCTGGTTCTTCCAACCTTTTCAGCAACTGAGACTTCTCCGTCGCTGAACCCGGGCGGTACAACACCATGAGCCGGCACAACACCTCCAATGTCGATCTCGCCCTCGTCGCCACCAGTTCCCGCCTGATCTCCTCCGGGACAGCTCCCAGAATCATGCTGACTCCTCTCCTGTCAACACGAACCCACCTGTTGTCCGAGAGCTCCTTCGGCGCGGTCGGCTTCAACGAGATCCTCACAAACTGGTCCGCCGCCTGGTACTGGTCATAGTAGGCTTGCGCTGCCTCCCGGACCAATCCCCACCATTCAGCAGATCCTGCACTGATATCCCCCATGACATTCTCCAAGCAATGAAGCCAGTCCCCGAAGTCCACTGAGGCCGCGTCACTCATCTCCGGAAGCTTCGGCATCTCCACCGACACTCGGCCCACTTCTTCTTGATTCTTGGCTGTCTTCCCGGAGATCACCTTCTCAAGACCTTCCAAGAGCTTCGTGACTGTGTCTGTTGTAGCCTCACTCCTTGGATGCGGCCCCACTCCCGCACTGGAGGCTCGTGACGCCTCCCCCTGCAGCGTAACCCCCTTTCCAGCGGCCATTGCACCTCCTCGGCCTCCATGAAGATATCCGCCATACACTTCTGGCTCTCCCATTGGACTGCTCGGAACACCCTCGAACTCCACGCGCTTCAGAGCTGCTGGTAGCGGAGGCGGTCTCACATCCGGGGCGAAAGGGCTCTTTGCTCTTCCACCGACCTCACCAGAAGCTGAAGGTCTAGACAAGGGCACCACAGGAGCAGTTGACACCTGAGTCATATTCGGCAATGTAGATGCAGTGCCCGACACCTGTGACATAGGCCATGACGTAGGTGCGACGCCCGATACCTGTGACATAGGCAATGACGTAGGTGCAACGCCCGACTCCTGTGGCATAGGCAGTGACGTAGGTGCAACGCCCGACTCCTGTGGCATAGGCAGTGAAGTAGGTGCAGCGCCCGACACCTGCGACATAGGCAGTGAAGTAGGTGCAGCGCCCGACACCTGCGACATAGGTAGTGAAGTAGGTGCAACACCCGATGTCGCCCTCAATCTCTCCACCTCCATCCGCAGACGACTCGCTTCATGCCTGCTCGCTTCCAACTGCCCCAGGATCCCCTGCATCTGCCGCTTCACCTCCATCTCCACCGCCTCCTTGGTGCTGTCCCCGGAGCTTCCATCCCCTGACTGAGGGCCTCGAGCTCCCTGAGCGCTCCCATAGAGAAGCGGCGCTCTTCCCTCCATTTCCTGCATCTGCCTCCACTGTTCCTGCGAGAACAACGAGTCCCCCGGAGAATCTTCCGGAGTCGGCCTTGCCAGAGCCCTCTGCCTTGTCCTCGATGGCGTCGGCGAAGGAAACGGAGAAGGGGCCCACAGAGGGCCTGTCTGGTGCTGGGATCTCATCTCCTGAAAGAACGTCCCAATACGCTGCATCCATGCTGGAATGTTCCTTCTGCTTCCGAAGGCTTCCAGGCTCCATGCAGCAGCTTCCGACATGTTCGCGTCGGTCGTTGTGACCCCACCCATAACCAGAGTTCGGGCATCATGTTCCACTTGGCGTCCGCTCGGCGCTGCTGTCGCCATCCCGACCAGCTCACCTCGCTGCCCATCCATGGACCATCCCGTCTGGCTCGCCGGGGAAGACACCATCATAGCCCTCATTGCCAACGATGTCTCACCAGGCCCTGGTAGTTCATGGCTCCCAACCTCGCCCAATCGCGGTTCTTCACGTGCGCTAGCGGTATTTGGGCTCATACCCTGCTGGGCATTGGGACCAAACTCGGAACTCAGGGCTTGTGCAAAGTCAGCATCTGAGGCTTCCATGGCGTATCGATTTTTCACTCCACTTGGCCTTCTAGGCGAGTAACATATCTGCACAACCTATACAATGTGCTGCTTTGAATGGCTCCATGCCATTGTTTTTTTTTTTGAAATACATGTTTTTCCTCACACTGGCTCAAGGTCCTTACGTAGCCCAACCCTTGGGTGTGTACAGCGGCGGGCAATCGGACCTTGTTCTTTACATGGCCTTCTTGTGAATCAACTTGACGCATCTGCAGTTTAGGGTTTAGGGTTTAGGGTTTAGGGTTTAGGGTTTAGGGTTTAGGGTTTAGGGGTTGAGGGTTTTAGAGGTTTAGGGTTAAGCTTTTAAGGGTTTCGGGTTTTAAGGTTTTAGGTAGTAGGGGTTTAGGGGTTTAAGGTTTTAGGTAGAAGGCGTTTAGTGCTTCAGGGGTTTAGGGTTTAGGGGTTCAGTTTATTCCGGAATTTTCAGGGTTGATGGTTCGGAGTTGAGGGTGTTTAGGGCCCAGGGTTGTGGGCACTGAGGGTTTAGTTGTTAATGTGGCTTTGGAGTGTTTCCTCAACCCCCTCAAACCCTACTGAAACCACAATTTTCACATCCCCTAAACTCAAAACTAAACCTGAATCTCAGGGTGTAGCGTTTACCCCATCTCCGCTGAACCTAAACCCTCAACACCCAAGAGGCCAATACAGGAGCGCCTTATAAACCATAACCCTAAACCCAAAACCCTAAATACTAAACCCTAAACTAAAACATCAAACCCTAAACCCTATGAGACCCCTTAACCCTAAACCCTACGAGATCCCTCAACTCTAAACCCTATGAGACCCCTCAACCTTTGAAACTCAGAACTCCGTGCCCTTCAGGCGCTGCTGTAGCTCACGACGTCCCCAGCGACTGATGCCTCTTCCATCGCGCCCAGGAATCTGAGAGCCAGAGTCCGCTGGCCTCAGCTACCCTAAACCCTAAACCCTAAACCCTAAACCCAATGGTTTCCGTGCTGGGAGCGGTCCTCAACTGCTGGTCTTTGTGCCTTTTGGGGGGGGGGGGGGGGCTTGGGGCGGAATCTTGGAGCCAGGATCCGGTGGCAACTGGGGTTTCTTGTAGCTTTTTCTTTTTTTTTTTTTTGGGGGGGGGGGGGGGTCTGAGGGTTTAGGGTTCAGAGTTGAAGGTTTAACCCTAAACCCGGCCTAAACTCAAACGCTAAACCCTAAACCCTAGACTCCCTAAACCCTAAACTTCGTTGTAGGGGTTGTGGGAACTTCGCAGTTGTTGGGGGTTTGCAGGGAGTTTTAAGGGTTAAGGTTTCAGAGCTTTAGAGCTTTATAGCTTTCAGGGATTCAGGGGCCTCTTTCTTTGGGGGGGGGGTTCAGGGTTTAAGGCTTGAGGGATTAGGGGTTTTGGGGGGGAGGGGGGGGGGGGGGGGGGGGGGGGGGGGCCTAGGGTTCTGTTTATTAAAACGATTCAGGCGTTGCGAGGGAGGAAGCGGCCCCCATCACCCTCAACTCAACCAAGCGAGCCATGGAACTTCCTTTCTCGCAGGCGCTGATGACCCCGCTGTAGCTGATGACGTTGGGACTCAGGCGCCTGTTGCATCGGTGCTCAACCCAAGAAACCCTAAATCCCCGAAACCGAACCCTAAACCCTAAACCCTGAATCCCTAAACCCTAAACCCAAATCCCCTAAACCATAAACCCTAAACCCCAAATCCTAAATACTAAATACCCTAAACCCTGAACCCAATAATTGCCCCTGGCCTCCGGGGCATCTCGTCTAGCAGCGCCAGGGCCACTGGCCAGTCCCCCCCTCGGACGCAGGCGCTGATGGCGCTGCTGAAGCTCACCACCGTGGGCACCTTTGATGCCTGGGGTTTAGGGTTTAGGGTTTAGGGTTGAGGGTTGAGGGTTGAGGGTTGAGGGTTTAGGGCTAGGGCTAGACCCAGGAGGAACCGAGGAATAAAAAGGGTACCCTTTTCGGTTTTCAGGGGATTATAAGAGAACCCCAACCCTCAAAGAAGGAAATAAGGGCCTACTCCGGGCACCTTTGATGCTGAACGCAAAGAACACGTCCTTTGAATGGCCCCTACAGAGAGAATGTTCCTTACATTACCCCTTCGTGAACGACTCAAGGCCTGTCCCAGGAGTTGCGGGATATTGGAGACCTGATCGCCAGGGAGCCCTGAACCCTTTTTTAGGGTAGTTTCCTGGTCCCTTCGTATGGGCCCTTAAACGGGTACCCCTTACATACCCTATAAGGGCCCTTACATCAGAACCCTTTGCTTAAAGGAGGTAAGGGACCATATTCAGGGCCCGTGTATGTACCCTTAGAACCGTAAACCCCTACACCTCCAACCCCAAGGCCCTAAATCCCAAACCCTAAACCCCAAACCTAGGCACCAGAGCTGCGCGCAGCATGTTGGCCAACAGCTCCAGGGCGGTGAGCCATTGGCCTCAGCTGGGGGGGGGGGGGGGGGGCGGGAACTCTTAGGCAAAGGACCTCCTGCAGAGAAGCCTTACCCGTCACAATGGCCCCAAACCCTAAACTTTAAACCCTCAACCCTAAACCCTAAACCCTATAAGCCGACAAACAAAAGAAATCCCACACAAATCGACCTGGCGGCCCTGGCCCTCGCAGGCGCCAATGGCCGCGTTGTAGGTAATCGTGTTTGGCGGCCTCAGGGTCGGGGCTTTGGGCCTTTGGAAAGGGGGAGGGGGAGAGGGGGAGGGGGGGGGGGGGGAGAGGGGGAGGGGGGGGGAGGGGGAGGGGGAGGGGGAGGGGGGGTGTCGAAGTAAGGTTTAGGGTTTAAGGGTCATGGTATAGGGTTTAGGGTTAGAGGGTTTTTGTTCGGGTTGATCGGTTCATTTGTAGGGTTTTCGGATGTTGTGTTTGGGGTTGAGGCTTGAGGGTTTGGGTGTTGGGTCTAGTGTTCAGGGTTGCGAGCTTATGCTTAGGGTCTTGCGTTTGGCTTTGAGTTTAGGGTCTCGGCTCGTGGGTCAAAGGTTGAAATTTAGGGTTGAGGGTCTACGATTGAGGGTTTAGGGTATTGGGTCGATAGGGTTTAGAAGGCACGGAGGGTCTAGGATTTTACGGTTGAGGGTTTGGGGTTTAGGGTTTTGGGGCCAGGGCTTTGCGGGTTTCAGGCTTCGGGGTCTCTGGGAGGTTGTCTAAGTGATCCCCCCCTTTTGGGGATCCTATTGTCACAAGGAGCCTTCTAGGGCGCCCGCCATTTCGAAAACCCTCCGTGGAGAGTTTACTGGGGGCCTGGGGGCTTCGACTTAGGGAATCGGGTTTAGGGGACAGAGGACACCCTAAACCCTAAACCCTAAACCCTAAACCCTAAACCCTAAACCCTAAACCCTTTGGGCTTAGGGTTGTAAGCTTATCAGGTTCAGGGTCTCGGATTGAAAGGTTCAAGGAGCGCCTTCTCCTCAACAGCTGCGTCCTTGAACTTCCCTCAACTCGGCCCCTAAACCCCAAACCGTACTTTAGGGTTTAGGGTTTAGGGTTTAGGGTTTAGGGTTTAGGGTTTAGGGTTTAGGGTTTAGGGTTTAGGACTCAATTAGGGTTTAGGGTTTAGGGTTTAGGGTTTAGGGTTTAGTACACCCCAAACCCCAAACCCTAAGCTCAGAATCCCCGACCTCTAAGAAGAAAAGTCTCAACCCTAAACTCTGGGGGCCCTAAGGAGATTTCATGTGCCATGGTGTAGGGTTTGGAGTGTAGAACCCTAAAGCCCTCAACGCCAAACCCCTTAAATTAAGCCCCAAACCCTTAGACACTCATGGACTACCGAGGCGCAGGAGCTGGGCCCCCATGGCCGAGAGGAGCGACATTGCAAGGAGCCATGGGCTGGCCTGAATGGTCGAGGGGGGCAGGGGGGAGGGGGAGTGGGGGAGGGAGGGGGGGGGGGGGGGGGGATTCCTTAAGCCCTCAGCCCTAAGCCCTATTCCCCAAGCCCTAAGCCTTAAACCCTGCAAAAACCCCAAACCTAAACCCTACCCTCTGACCCGAAGTTCTCAGAACCACTACATTTGGGGGCAAGCGGCTGAGAGCCCTAAAACCCAAGAGCAGCCTCGCCAAAGCCAACACAAACCTCCAAAATCTGCCAAGCCCTTAACCCTAAACCCTGAACCCTAAAGCCCTACCCTGTTGGCTTTGTGAGATTGGGGCTTTGGCCTGATTGAACCCCCAACCCCAAACTCTACACCCTAAATCCCGAAACACGGAGACCCCAAACCCCTAAACCCCTAAACCCCGAACCCTGAAACTCTAAACCCCATAACCCGAAACCCTAAACCCCATAACCCATAACCCTAAACCCTAAACCCTAAACCCCATAACCCTAAACCTTAACCCTAAACCCTACAATCCGAAACCCTACAACCTTTCGAACTCGACGTCTGGCCTGCGCGCAGGCGCTGATGCAGCTGCTGCAGCTGATGACGTCCGGCTCGTGAGCTTGGGCAGCCATATCCTTATAAGGGTTTAGGGCTTATGGGGTTTAGGGTTTAGGGTTTAGGGTTTAGGGTTTTGGGCATATGTTTAAGGTTTAGGGTTTTAGGGTCTAGGGTTTAGCGTTTGGGTCATATCCTTTGGGGTTTTTGCTCTGTCTTGTTCGGTTGCAAGGTTCTGTTAAAGTTCTGTTTGGGGTTTCGGAGATTCTGCTGGGTCGGGCGAGTGCTTGCAACAACCCTCGGACAAAGACTGATGACTGAGATCTTCCTAAACCCTAAACCCTGAAATCCTAAACCCTAAACCCTAAACCCTGAAATCCAAGAAGGGATTCTTGAGGACCCTAAACACCCGAAACACCAACGGGCGGGTTTGATCCAGAGGGGCTTATCCCGGTGCCACCGCCTCGCCTCCTTTTAGAGGGTTTCCAGCGCTTCGGGGTTTGGAGGCTTTAAGGGTTGAGGGGTTGAGGGGTGTAGGAGTTGAACTGAAGGGCTTCGGACTTCAGTCATTGGGTAGGGTCAAGGGTCTGGGGTCCGGGGTCTGGGCTCTGGGCTCTAGGGTCTAGGGTCTGTTTTTTTTGAACGGGAAGTCTAGGGTTTAGGGTTTAGGGTTTAGGGTTTAGGGTTTAGGGTTTAGGGTATAGGGTTTAGGGTTTAGGGCCGTCCTTGCGACCGCAGCGTCCCCGAGCAACTGCAGAGCGATGTGCCAGCGGCCGGCCTTCTCACAGGCGCTCAGGCTGCTGTTGTAGGAGATGACGTCCTCTCTGGTTCAGGGTTTAGGGTTTAGGGTTTGGGGTTTAGGGTTTAGGGTTACATTCAAGGGTTCCGGAATCATCCTTAAGTAGATAGAAGCCAAAGGAAAGTAGAATAGAATCTGCACTGGGAATTGGCCTTATTCCCTCCAGAACCTCTGAAGAATAGTCCTAAACATGACCTGGATAACTCAAACAAAGGAACCCGAAATTGTCCAAATCCTTCCTCAGCCTCGGCCTTAACAACGACCCCGAGAAGCCCCAAACCTTTCCCGAAGGCTCATTGGGTAGTTCGAGTGGGGTTCATGGCACCCTAAACAAAGCTTAGGACCACCAATGGCTAGCGCTAGCCGATATACTTAGGACCCCAGTTGTAAGTACCCATGAACCTCCAAGTAGTCGGTCATGTTTGAACCCTAAACCCTAAAGCCTAAGCCCTTAACCCTTAACCCTTAAACCCTAAACCCTGAACCCTCATCAGACATACCTCCGAACATCTGATGTCCGTGGCCTTAACCGTTAACAACAACATGTCAGAAACTATTCTGAAGGAGGCAATCGGAACCCTAAAACCCTAAAACCCTAAAACCCTAAAACCCTAAAACCCTAAAACCCTAAAACCCTAAAACCCTAAAACCCTAAAACCCTAAAACCCTAACACCCTAAAACCCTAAATCCCTAAAACCCTAAAACCCTAAAACCCTAAAACCCTAAAACCCTAAAACCCTAAAACCCTAAAACCCTAAAACCCTAAAACCCTAAAACCCTAAAACCCTAAACCCTAAAACCCTAAAACCCTAAAACCCTCTAACCCTCTAAAATCCTAAAACCCTAAAACCCTAAAATCCTAAAAACCTAAATCCCTAAACCCTAAACCCTAAATCCTAAACCCTAAACCCCAAACCCTAACTCTGCCCGTCGCTTGGATTGTGATCCCCAGCTCCGGCTCCCACCGCGCGCTGCCAAGCTTGGTCCAGGTCTCAAGAGCCCCGAGCCACCTGGGCTCTCTGTTGATTGGTGTAGGGTTTAGGGTTTAGGGTCTAAGGTCAAGGGTTTAGGGTTTAGGGTTCAGGGTTTAGGGCAATGGTCTGTTGGGCTTCTTGGTGATTTGTCTAAAAGGGTTTTGTTGATGAGGGTTTTTAGGGTGTTTTCTTAACCTTTGATATTCCACCTGAAAAAAGCAATCCCACATCATGAAAGTTCAACTATTGGCAAGGCAAGTTTGGGATTCTTGAAACTTTAGGGGGTTTGGGGTTTCTGAGTTTTTTTCAAATTTCTTCGGCGGGTTTATGCTATAAACCCTAAACCCGTACAAGCCCCTGACTGAGGCCCAAATAAGGCTCCTTCTCAATTGAACCCTAAACCCAGAACCCTCAACCCTACCCTAAACCCTAAACTCTAAACCCTAAACCCTAAAGCCTAAACCCTTAAACCCTAAACCTGAAGCCGGGCTACCTTCCAAGCCTCTCGTACGCGCTGATGGTTGTGCTGTAGCTGATCCTTAGATCTTGAAGCCTTTTTTCACCCCTAAGCTCCAAGCCATTAAGTTTAGGGTTTAGGGTTTAGGGTGTTTAGGGTTTCGGGTTTAGGGTTTAGGGTTTAGGGCTTAGGCGTCAGGGTTTAGGGTTTAGGGTTTAGAGTTTAGGGTTTAGAGTTTAGGGTTTAGGGTTTGGGGTCACTGGAGCCCTGAACCCCTAAACCCCAGACCCAAACGGTACCTTCGACTACATCATTCTTAACGCAAACTCGGAGGAAAACGATGGCGCCAAAGTATGGAGTTTGGTTGTGACGTGATCAAGCTAAAAAATAACAATATTGATTCTCGGATTGAATGAAACTCATCACATGATACAGAACAATATTGATATCGCAGTAGATTTCGCTTTTACTATGTTCTTGCGATGCTTGTTCAAAAACTCAGCTTGGGCTTCCTTGGGATTTATGGCCACATTTGAGAGCCTCCATCTCTCAGCAGCTCTCAATGCAGTGTTCCCAATACCCCCCGCAAGATAGCCCCCATAATACTAGGATTCCCTTATAACAAGGACCCCAATAAGGTACCCCCTAAGTTCGGACACCACCATATAACCAAAAAAGGGTTGAAGGTCACCTACCCAGTCCCTAAGGCAAGGCACTTGCTGCGCTCCACGGCATCAGTGCCGAGATCCTCAAAGAGGCCGATGGCGGACTGCCACTCGGCCGCTCGGACAGCCACGCTCATGGTGCTGTTGAAGCTAATCCTTGGTTCCGGGGTTTCAGCCTGAGGGTAGTTCCATGGTCCCTTAAAGTATGGGTCCCCTGAAAAGGGGAGGGCCTCTGTATACCCTACAACACCCAAGAGGGCCCATACTTCAGAATCCTAAAGCATTAAAGGGCCATGCAACTACCCTTAGTTAGATTCGTGTGCCGAAGCCTCGAACAATCCGAGGCCCCCTTTTGGGGTCCCTGTTCTAAGACAGGGTGGGGTTTAGGGGACAGACTCATATATTCGGGAGATACACCCAACCCCCCCCCCACCCCCATGTCGACCAACAAAAGCCTTCCGGACCCCAAACAGCCACGCGGTGTGCGCAAAGCAAAAAGAAACCAAAGCACGTGCAGTGGGTTTAGGGCTTCGGGCTTCAGGGCTTTAGGCTTTTAGGGTTTTCGGGCTTAGGGTTTTTTTTGGGGATTAAGCACCATCAGCACACCTACTTCCCTGAGTGATCTGAGAATTCAAGAAAAAAACGGGATCGGGGGATGTTGCAAGATCCTTCCGTGCCAATGCTCAAGGCAGAGTCTCTCAACAGCTTCGCAAGCTTTGAAGCCTAGTCCGCTGGACCCTAAATCCCCAAACCTCATGAGGGTTTAGGGTTTAGGGTTATACAGGGCTTTTGGGGTTCAGGGAGGGTTTGGGGCTTACTATTAGGGTTGATATGCTTCAGGGTCAAGCCTAAACCCTAAACCCTGAACCCTAAACCCTAAACCCTAAACCCTAAACCCTGAACCCTGAACCCTGAACCCTCAACCCGTCAGAAGCCCAAAATTGTGGCCGAGCGTCACGTCCGGCCGCAGCCGGCTGCAGCCCAGGGCCACGAGTGAGGACAGGGCGGTCACCCAGGTCTCACCTTTTAGGGTTTAGGGTTTAGGGTTTTAGGGTGTTAGGGCTTAGGGTTTTAGGGTGTTAGGGTTTGGGGTTTGGAGTTTAGGGTTTTAGGGTTTTAGGGTTTCAGGGTTTAGGGTTTGGGGTTTAGGGGGCTTTGGAAATTCCATGGGCTTGAGAGGGCTTGTGGATTCCAATCTCGCAAGCCCTACACCCCTACAACCGAACACCCCCCTTAACCCCAAGCCCCTAAACGCGGAGCCGAATAAATCAACAAGCCTCCTAAACGCGAAACCCTAAACCCTAAACCCCAAACCCTAAACCCGAAACCCTAAACCCTAAACCCTAAACCCTCAACCTGACCCTCCAGAACAGACCTGAAGTCGTGGGCACCACTTCCTTGAGGGTGCCGAGGGCGCTGTTCTTGGTGATGATGTTCCTGGCATGGCGGCGGAAGATTTGCGAGGGCAGAGTACTACACCCTCATGAGGGATGCCCGGACTGGGTTTCGGGACGAGGGGGCTCGTGGCTTGCGATTGCAGAATCTGGAGTATTTTGGAGTTGTAGGGTTTAGGGTCCAGCATTCATGATTTAACATAGCAAACACCATGGCCGTCGGACATACACACTGGTAGGGAAAATGGCGGCCTGCTGCACACCCCGGCTGCAGCTCCCATTGAGCCGAGGGTTTAGGGTGCGTTTCAGGTCTTGTGTCGAGCAGGTGGCTGCGAACCAACAGCCCCAAACCAAGAGCCACCATCCTCCACCCGGAACAACTAGTCCTCCTGAATAATGCAAACCCACCCCAAGGAAATGAAGGCTCCTGAATAAACTCAAAGGCCCCAAACACCCTGAAGACCCTCAAGCCAACAAAACGAAACCTACGTCACCCTCCCGACCAGTTCATCATAAGAGCTTGCATATCTAGATCCAATAGTAGCCTAGGAACAAAAGAAGTGCCCTTTGGTGGCTTCAAGGGGCTTATAAGGGAACCTAAACCCCACAACAAAAGGAATAAGGGCTTCACTCCGACTCTGGGTCCCGGTAACTTTAGTAAAGGCTCCAAAGGCCCCAGGTTCCAAGGCACAACCCCCCCCGCAAAAAAAAAAAAAAAAAATATATATATATATATATATATATAATAATAATAATAATCAAGATAAAAAATATAATAACAATAATAGTTCACGAATAATAATAATTATTATTGTTATTATAGCCATAAAAACAATCATAAAAAAGTCGGCCGGGTGTTCCCAAGAACGCCGGCCGCCGCCATCTGGTCCAGGAGGCCCACTGCTTGAGTCCACTGCGTCGACCGCTCCTGGAGTTTTTTGTTTAAGCCCGCCCCCCTTCCCAAGGGGGGTTTAGGGTTTAGGGCTTAGGGTTTAGGGTTTAGGGTTTCCCCCCCCCCATGCAAGGCAGTCTTTCGGGTTAGGGCTTAGGGTTTATGGTCTGGGACTGGTTTGGGGTTTAGGCTTTAGGGTTTAGGGTATAGAGGGTATAGGGCTTAGGGTTTAGGGTTTCGCGAACCCCTACGATGGGAGCTTGGGGTAGTTTTGCTGTCGGCCTGCCGACGTAAAATGCAAACTTAGGATTTTGGGTTTAGGGTTTAGGGTTTAGGGGTTTAGGGGTTTAGGGGTTTAGGGGTTTAGGGGTTTAGGGGTTTAGGGGTTTAGGGGTTTAGGGTTTAGGCTGTCGGGTTTAGGGTTTAGGGTGGACTAAGGGATTAGCTGCCAGCAAGCCGCACACACAGCTACGGATGCGTTGTAGCTGACGACGTCCGGGCGCAGCCTAGCCTGGCCAGCGCAAGCTCTGGGGCTGCTCCAAGGTAGAGTTTGCAGGAGCCATGGCGATTGCACCGCTAGTAGGACGTGACTTCCAAAGTGGGCTCTGACGAAAGTTGAGAGTGGCTACACATGCCGACCGAACCTTAATTGCACTTGCCTCAGCAATCGATGCCAGCAGGTCGAGTGCGTGGGAAGTTTGCCGTGCCTTCAAGATGGACGTTGAACACAGCGGGCAATTGGAAGGCTATTGTTGCTTAGGTGGAGAGGATTTAGGGCTTAGGAACTAACTGAAGCTTGGGTTCTGCTCACGCAGCTTCGTGTCACTGCAGACAAGTGGGGAAAGGGCCTTAGAAGTTGGCGTGATTAGGATATTCCCCTGACAGCAGCAGCTTTGAAATGGGAATGGGCTTCATGAAGGGTAACTCTTCCGGTTTCGGGCTGAGGGCTCTTCCTCTGGCATTCTAAGTCCTCGTGCTCGACTAAGAAAGAGCACGCTTTATGAGCGGCGAGGGCCCAAACCCTCTACCCTGAACCGTAAACCTCAGGGCTTAGGCGGTTTAAGGCTTCGGGTTCCGAAAAAATGCTCCTCTAAGGGGTAACCCCAAATACTCCTACTTTGGGTCGTAGATCTGGGGGCTACCCCTTTGAAGGCGGGGACGCTTGAGGACTTCCGTGGGTTTGGGCTTGGGTGGTTTGGGGTTGAAGCTGAGGCGGGCCATTTTTATTTGTTCAGGGTTTGAGGTTGGGATGTTCCCCATATACTAACAGTCCTTAGTGGGGATTCTAATGGGGGGG